TTATTATTACTTTTATCACCCAATTATTAATTTTACATTGATCTAAACAATATTAGTTAAATTTAAGTTTCATCAACTGGTGTCTTTATTAGTTTATTAAAGTTCAAACTAAGTTTAGGAAGTAAGTTCGTAGAGCTTGGTCCTCTACAGTCGACTCACAGCCTGCCGTTGTTCCTGTCACCGGTTCGCTTCGATACTTGGATACTCCTGGATAAGAGATTTTTGAGTTTTGCCATATCAATTCAGTAAAGTTGATGAATATCTTTATTACTTTATTATTTATTTACTTTAGCATTAACATTCATATTTTAACTGTTAACTTAGATATTTTGTTTTGAAAGCCTCAACTATGTCACTCTTTTTGGAATAGCAGTATAACTGCATGTCATGGAGGTAGATCGGTTATAAATGAAGATTTTTTTTCTGGTTTCACAAATTGGAATTTCTTTCCAAAAGCCAATAGTTGTCTATATTTATTTCTTTTTAATATGTACACTCTATTTCAGTTTAGAATTTAGCGTTATACCTAGATAATTTACGGTGTTTCGTGTCGGTACTATTTTTCCGTTTATACTGATCCTAATTTTTCTGCTTGTAAAATTTGCTTATAGACTGATAGTCATTTATTTTAATTTTTCAGTGATTTGTTGATGCTTCTATACTATTTTTCTATTGACAGGGCGAATGTCATAATTGTGTTTTTTATTGGCGATAGTTTACTGGTAAAAAGCAGTAGAGGTCTTAGGACGTTCCGCTGGGGAAAACCAGCCTTTATTTCCAAAATTCGGTTTCTTGCTTTATTCGGAATAGTCCCTCTGAGATGGAGGAAAAGAGAAATTGGGATTTTTTTTAAAAGTGTATGTATTAAATTTTCATGTTAGATTATACGAAAGGTTTGAGATTCGTTCAAAAGCGCGGTACAACAGATAAGTTCCACGAAGTGCTGAAGTAAACCGACGCGAATAGCAGTGCGATATAATGTTTATCTTTTGAGTCTCTTGTAAACTCTCAGGGGCTGTGAATCGTTTTGTTTGTAATTTATTCTGTTTGTATTGTTTATATTTAAATAAGAATTAATAAATTTTTTAGACGGGTGTCGGATTGGCTTTGAAATGAATAAGCAGTAATAAAGCTAACGAGAAAGGTTGAAAAAGATCGAGATTTATTTTTTGTAACAATCTTAAATTTAAAAAGTATCAACGAAGAAAGATAGAGTAATGGCAATTTATTTAAAAACTTCATTCAGAAGTTTATTTAGAAATTGTGAGATGCGGTCTGGTGTGATGTAAGTTTCTGAAAAACATTTTCTTTATCTTGCCAATGTTTCGATCTTTATTGAGATCATCTTCAGGGCTCAAAGTGTTTGTCTTCTGTGTAATTGTGTCATTCTTCCGTGTATCATTTTTCACTTTGATCCCTGAAGATGATCTCAATAAAGATCGAAACGTTGGCACGATAAAGAAAATGTTTTTCTGAAACCTACATCACACCAGACCGCATCTCAAGATTTCTAAATAAATATCGATTAACGGTCACTAATCACCACACATTCATTCAGAAGTTTTTCCATGCCTATCTATCATTGTAATTTCGGCCACCTTCAGGGAAATTTTTTTAATTTTAGTGGCGCATTAAATAATTAATTTACTTCTACAAATCATTTTTGGATATTATCTCAAGACTTCTCGTGTTTTGAGATTCTCATAATTCAGGCCTTTCCGAAGTTCAAGTTTTATTTATTTTATGATCCACTTCTTTCAGCGTAACACATTAATGACCACAAAATAACGAAGTTTTCTTTATAATTACTTATCTTCTGACGAGTTTACAATATGCTTATGGACACAGGATATCGGCAAGAAAAAATTACTCAGCCAATCCATCCTAAAAAATTCAATTTTTTCATTGGTATAAAAATTCGAATTAATATTTAAGGGTTTTAAAATTTCCAATAGTTTTGTTTTTTGAACAATAATGTTTATTGTCTTCCTTTATTCCTTCTTTTGTTTTTTGTAACTTTTAATAAATCGTTTTCATTTAATAATATCTTATATATTATTGTAATGTTCTACTTAAAGAAAAGAAAAGAAAAAGATATACATCATAACCATAAAGTACATATAAAACTATACAAAGACAGAAACCCATATTTATAAGAAGTATTATATTTAAATTACTTTAATTTACTTTTTACTCTCAGAGTCCATTGGCAAATACTCGCAGCCTCCCCTTGAAAAAAAAAGAAAAACTTGCTATTATTAATGAAAAATTTATCAGGATGAAACAAGGTTTCTAAAATAAATATATACAGATGTCATTTCGATTTATTTATACTAATGAAATTTACAATATTATTACACATGTTTTAGAATAATTTTAAAAAAGAAAAAGAAAGTTTGATCGTCAACATTAGTATAAACTGTGGAAACAAATTAAAAACTATGTATACTTATAACCTAGAGTATTTTTCTTTGGGTAACTCCATCCAAAAAAAGGAACGTGGTAATGTTATACACATATATACTTTGGTTTTAAGCATATATATGATTCTATGTACGTTTTACGTTTAGATTATATTTTGTCAAACATTCCACAGTACACAAGATTCAACCCTGTATACCTGTTCATCATATATATAATATATATTGTTTAAATTAAGATTTTTTTCTCTCAATAGAATCCATTCACACAAACGCAGTGTTACAGAAAGTACAAATGTGCTTGGACAATACAATACCATCTTGGATTATTATAAATTTAATTGGACAAATAATTGTTCAGATTACAGATATCGTTTATTTAAAAGAAAACAATAAGCGGATGTGAATTAATTTCATGTATCAATTTTCATTTTCATTACAAGTGTCCATGTCACTTCACAGGTGTCACACAAACATATATAATTTTTTTTCAATTGTTCATTAAGTTTATTCTTTGTGTTGATTTCACAGATTAAATTTATATAATATTTACAATTGTATACAGTTCACATATTTGTTTTGTTTTATAATTATATATATTTTTAAATCTATATATAACAAAATTGGCAACGCAATGAGCGATTTCATATTTTTATATACATAGTAAAATAACTGATTTCTCGCTCCGTACAGAGTCAAGTACATTTAATTTAAAATGTTTTATTTACATTGATAGGATTTCTTTTTTTATAAATATGATTGGTTACTATTTTTTCCTCATCCTTTCCATTTGTTCGACTTACGAAAAAATGTGAGTTAGGGTAACAAGCATCTTAATTCAAATTTTCTCGGGATGGAATAGGGATTTTGTCTAAGCCCGAGTACATAGAAAAAGTAATATTAATTTTTTTTTAAAGAAGAGAGCATAGGAAAGTTCTTTTCTTAAATTACACATTTAAAACAATTATTAACTATATAAAAGAAAGACAGACCCTTCGGTTAAAGTTTATACAACAGCCCGATCGTCCGAAACGCATTTACCAACCAGAAATACAAGTTCTCTTTGAGACCTATGGAGATTTACGCCCTAGTGGAAAGAGTAAAGGCCCAAAAAGCGTTCTAATAACAGACACGCACCCTTGAAATCACCTTTCACTTAGAAAAGTGGATTCTGATTGACAATAATCGGGCGTTCAAAAAGAGTGAAGAAGCTGCGGAAATTTTTATGAAGTTTACCACGGGCTAATCATATCTCTCAAACCTGGTCTTATCGCAAACGTAAAAATATATATGTTCATTTCATATATTTTTAATGAACCACGACTAGGTGTGTCAAGTGTTTTATGCCATTCTAGTTAATATGGATTTCTATAAATTGCCAATTATTGTTCTATCAAATACTGAATATCTTCTAAACAAAATATGTTAATAATTATTATTATTATTCTTTATGTAAGGTATTGTTTGAAATGAAAAAGTTAGTGTCACGAGCGGGATTCGAACCCACGACCTTTGGATAAATATGCCGCTGCTCTACTGAGTGGTTGTCCGTGTGGATCGAAGTCACGATAGCTCAAGTGGTAGAGCAGCGGCGTATTTAGCCAAAGGTCGTGGGTTCGAATCCAGTCCATGACAATAACTTTTACATTTTAACCAATAACTTACATAAAGATTAATTGATTAAAAGAAGTTATATGGATATTCGAACCACGAAATATAATGGATTATTATTATTGCTAAATTATTTATTAAATTATAACTGCGCTTTCAAAAAATTTTAATGACTCAATAATAAATTACATTGTACATAATTCAATTTTTATTTGTGTAATTTTACAGATTGAGCGATAAAAAAATGCTGGTCAACTAATAATGCTAAAAATTCTAATTTTTTAAATTGTTTTTAAATTGTGCGTCTGTGAGATTTTTTTAGTTTGAGTCTGATCAGCTTTATCTTCCTGTTCACTATTTTTACTTTTGATACTCAGGTATGGATTTTGTAAACAGGATACTTCTTTAATTTCTTTTAATGAGCATTTTTGTATTTTTAATTATCTTAAGTCATATCATTGAAGGAATTTTCCTTTTTGTGGTTTTCGGGGAGATGGATTCACAATTTGGTTGTATTTGATGTTCTATCTTAGATGATTTGTCTGAAGAAAAGCACGATAAAGAACATATTTTTGTAAACCTTCTTCATACCAGACTACATCTCACCATCTCCAAATAATCATTACTTAACGGTCACTCGCACCACTCAATTTTAAATATTCTCCCTCGGTTTTGACATTCATTTGTATTTTATATGTTCCATTTTTCTTACTTTTTCTCTTACATTTTTATTTACAGATTATTTGTATTTTTCGTAGGTTATGTATAATCCACTAGTTTTCGTGGTCCGCTTGACCAATTAATATCTTTCAATCAATTAAGGTTGATTGATTAAGGTTGAAATGAAAAAGTTAGTGTCACGAACGGGGTTCGAACCCACGACCTTCGGCTCAATACGCCGCTGCTCTAACCACTCTATCGTGACTCGATGGCTCAATTGGTTAGAGCAGCGGCGTATTGAGGTCGTGGGTTCGAATCCCGCTCGTGTTACTAACCTTTTCATTTTCACCAAAACCTTACTTAAAATGGTTAATTAACTACTAATGTTTTTATCTGATCGACACGGTTCATTTACTGAGTTAGTCAGTTTTTGCTTGGTTTATTGACCAGTTCCTCACTGAAGATGGCGTGAAGCCGAAACGCAAATTCGTGAAATGCAAACCGCATCAGTATCGATCAGTTCAACATGTTCCCATCCATGCAGACAAACAAACACTGCCAATTTTTTCCAATTTTCAGTTTTATTTTCAATTTAGTAACAGAGAAATTAGCTTGGTTTGAATGTATATGTTTTAAAAATGTAATGAAAGATTAAGCATAAATAATTGTGCTATTTTCAAACTAGTAATTTTACAAAACTGCCTTTTCCTACGAATTCACTGACTTATGATGCTTTTGCTGGAACGAAGTCAAGCAAACTGTCAAGTTTTTAAGGGGACATGAACCGTTTATCATAATTTTGATTTTTCAATTTCTAAACGATTGAAAATTATCGTTTTAGTAACTTCATTAGGCTGTGTTTAATTCAGTAAACTGTTCAGTGCTTTTATAGGAGAATTTTTCAATTAAGGACTTTCATCAGGCGAAGTAATTAACAAAGTTGTGCAAAATACTGTAAACAATGAAAACAAAATTAAAGTTTTTTTGTGTTTTGTTTTATAGAATAACCATCAATATTATTGACCTGAACAATAAGCTGTCGAATGCTTGCGAAAAAGGTTTTTCTTTCCCGCCCCCTCCAGCCGTTTTTAAACATCTCTCGCTGTAAAAATAAGCGGGAAAACTTTTACAAAGAGTTTACAAGTTTTTTTGTACCTTGTGGCCTGTTCTCCGACGGCCGGCCGAACAGAGTGGAAGGGTTTAGATTAGAATAAAGTTTCCACCGACACTTTCTATATTATTTCCCAAGAGGTCTTCATGCCGGCTGGCTCGAGGAGAGGGAGAGAAACAGGTTGTGCTTAGGGTTATCTATTGCAGCTTTAAGGGGCTTGAAGGCCGCAACCAAATTACGAGACTGCTGTTAAATTTGTTGCTGGGAGCAATATCGCCGACCGCATTCGCGCCTTTACTGTTTGATTGTCTTTCAGGCAATTCCTCCATATCTTCTATGTAATTTAGCTTTATACAATTAGGAATGTAAAACATCTAGATATATCTCGACTATGGGATGTATAGTGATTTTTTTTCAGGAAATTAAGAACAAAAATTACATACAAAATTATGCAAACATAAACTTCAATGCTCAATTCATCATAGAATAAATAATAACACCCTATTTAGTTTTTAATTGTTTTTTGTTTTATCGAGTCAGCCTTATCTACTTCTGGATATAAATGTAAGAATTCTCGTCTGGGACCAGGGCATATTTTATACACGTTTCCTACTCACTACTTATTGACTTATCACAAAAACCTGCCTAACCGACCTTTAGAGTAAGGTGAGGCAACGAGTTCTCGGATGTTAAATAATTTTGCTGCCGGTCTTCCACAAGAATGCATTCTTGGTCCAATCTTTTATATTATTTATGCCGCTGACCTACCTATATACCATAATACCGTCATAAGTCATCACCATCTACGCGGACGATACCGCAAAGTTATCCTCTATCCCGAATCCTTTCTAAGTCACCTCCAAAATCCAAGAACACCTTGAGCTTATCGAAGACTGGTGCAAAAAGTAGAGGACAAGACTGAATGAAGAAAAATATACTCAGTGTACGTTCACAATGAGAAATCAGTCTTGCCCTCCATTATACATCAACAAAGAGACACCGGCTTCCATTCAAGTCAAATAGTTACGACTGTACCTAGACAGCAGACTGAAGTAGAATCTCCTTTAACCAACGACTGGGACAACCATGAATGACCTTGGACCGAAATCTGACTTGAGTAACAAAACTAAACTACCCTTATACAAGAATTTAGTGCGACCAATTTGGGCATACTGGAACTATGTGGTTCTGCCATGGCATCCAATCCTTTTTATCAAAAGTCCTCAGACAGTTGGTCAAAGGTCCTCACTGTCCACAACGAACACTCCTTTAGCCAACGTTCCGTTCTTGATTCCAAATTTTCACACCAACCTCTCGATCCATCCTAGCCCTACTGTCGAGCCCTCTCTATACATTCCCATCCCCAGAGCACGCCACGTTGCAATCAATGGCCTCGGGATCTTTTTCCAGCTTAATCCCTTACACTGAGTGCCAGCGATGGCATGTGTCCTCCTGGTTAAAACGCTAGGTTAACGCAGTGACCGTATGATAAAACGTTTGGTCATCACATTTGTAATATAATAAAGGTAGGGTACAAATTAAAAAAAAAAAATTATATATAAAAATTATCATTTGACTACTGCATCAATTCTTTTATGCATTTCTGATGGTATTTATGCAAAAATTAATATATTAGTTTATCAATAAATATTTTATTTTTTATATTTTTAGTAAATTTCTTCTAACACTTTTCAATTTTTTTAACTAATAGAACAATCCTTTGCATAATAGGATTTAAATTTCCCATGTTGTAATATAACCTAATTATTTAAATTATATTGACTAATATTATGCAAACGAGACAAACAAACAAATACATTCTATCATAATCTAATCTAATAACGTCGAATATGCTTATACAATTATAAATTTAATTGTCTATATTGTATTTGTTTAAACCAATCGAAATGTGATGTTGTTTATTAAATCAACAGTTCTCAAATACAGAGTGGTTTTAATTTAATTTATATACATAAACTGTAAAGCCTAAAATTTGAAATCTCAGAAAACCGATTTGCAATTTAAATGTAATATTACTCGCTGAGATCACCATCAAAGCTTTGTTTTAATTGAGCGATTTATAACACTTTTTTGGCGGGGTTGATTTTGATTTTAGTTTTTGAGGTAAAAATGTAAGAGGCGAAACGCAGCGACAACTTCGATGTGTCGTCCGTTAATAATTCCGACGAGGTACTGGTATACCAGTTCGTGCTCCGACGGTACATCCAAGGTCTCGGAGGTCTTTTACAAATTTAAAATTTCCACCGAAAATTTAGAGTTAGCGCAATGCTAAGCCACCCCCGTGTATAACTGTAACTCGAGCCGATGAATTATGGAGAAACGAGAATGTTCTCAGCCAAGGGGAAATAAGGCTGCCGAACATAAACAATGCTACATAACAAAGAGCGGGTACGACTTTATTTCTTGCGTCAGCTTATTGTCACTTCATAATTAAACTTTACGTAAAACCGAAGCTCCGAACTTCTTGTATGACTTCTACTGAACTCTTATGCCAAATAAATAATATGAAAAAGAGAACGAATTTCACCTTTGTGTTTGCCTTTTGTTTCTGAAACTTGATAAAACTTAAAATGATAAAGCTTTTTGTTTGTTTGTTGTTTTTGTATATGTTACTATAGTTATGATATAATGTATTTGATATTTAATACGAAACATATATTAATATTTGCTTGTATTATAATGTTACTTTCAATCGTGGGCTGGGAATAAAACGGATTATCAAGTTGCAAATTGAACATAAACGACAACTTGAGCTTATGAAATGTGCTTGTATAAAATCTTATGGTTACGGCTTTATGTTCCATTACTCTTTCCATATATTAGTCGGGCGTATCATTTTACGCATTAGACGTTGTTAGCTCGAGTAGTGCGTACGATTTCGACTTTTATCACTCAGTCTGCGTTGTATAACCGTTTTCGAAGGGCGTTCGATTCTTACACAAATATTTACAATTTACCTTATACCATATTATATCTAATTAATTACAATACATGTTTCATCGCTTTATCTCGACCCATTCATAAATATTTACAATTTTTCGCTCTCTTTGTTTCTCTTTTTGATTTGTTATATTTTAAGCTCTTCTTGAAAATATAAACGCTTTTACACGTGCCGATTTACACAAGTTTTAAACGGGATACGAACAGAAAATACACAGGAGGAAAACAAGTCCCATCCACACGATAAATTTTATAATGGAAATTTTTACTAACCACCTTATATTTTTTTATTAATTGAATTTTCATCTAAGTTTTAATAATTTCAGGGGATTACTATGTACAAGACAGGGGACTATGTTAATTGCATTAAGTTTAAGTGATTTTCATGTAGGGTGGGATCGGGGGAGTGGATTTTTATTTAATTTCTTACGAGAGATAAATAATTTTAAGAGGTCAAACGGGTTTTTACGGGGACAGGGCGCTGGCGATTCGTTTTCGCCGCAGCTGTCGCCTTACGCAGCGATCGAGGAAAGCATGAGCGGAAGCAGGATGTACCAGACTGCTGCTGAAATTATTGGACCTGAAGAGGATGACTTCCGACGAGAAATGGCAGCCATCTTGTCACCTGTAACAAAAAATTACACATCTTAAATAAAAAACCAAAACAATCACTGACTGGGCAAAACTAAGGTCAAAAAACAGCAATTTTAGTTACAAGATAACAATTTTAAATTGCGAAAAAGTCTGCGGGATATTGCTTTCCAAAAGAATATTCAAAAATTCAGTACATTTAACTATTTTTCATTTGAAGCAACGTATTAGTTTGTTATTTGTTTTTAGATATTATTTGCCAAACATCACTACACCTCGAAATCTCAGTGTTAATAAAATATTAAACACTTAGCGGAAATTTTCTATTTTAATTCAATAAGTCATTATCTTTAAAACTACTCGTTCAGTTCAAATCAACGTAGTTGTTCCAACCGTTCTTTAAAGCAAATGTGGAGAAACGTCAGGGTTATAAGCAGGGAGAGGCAAAATATCCGAAGGTCAAATGCGAATAAAAGGCAGGAGCGTTGTATCGTGGCATCATCCCCTTTATATTTTAAAAGTTAATACATTCTAATCATCAATTGCGATAAACTAAGAGTTCTTGCCATCTACAAGCTAAGTCGCACCTGATCTGTATCTAATCCAATACCTGGTATATCCCAGTTTGATAAGATCTAGCACAATGACAATTTTTAAATCCTTATTCCTAAAAATACGTTAATTTTTGTATTTAGAAACAAATTACATCGGCTGTCCGATTTGGGCTTTTTGGGATACCTACTGCTTGCTGATGGCTCTAATCTTGGCTGTACTGTGCGCCATAGTGTGAATATACACTGATATAGAAATTTAAAGCACCATACACTTTTTTTTTAAGTTTAAAATTAAATCCATTATCTTATTCCTTTTTAAAAAGATAGTTCCTACTCACATTCTTTTTTTACATTAGTCAAGCTAATTAGCAGCTACCAACGGTTTAGGCGTTGACACGTCGCACATCAGTGTAAGGTAAAGATCCAGGGTTCGAATCCAGCGGCCCTGCATTCGAACCCGACATACTTACAAATGGGCTTTTTTTCAAAAACACCGGCACCACGAGGGTTGATATCACCTCTGCTGTTGCGAACCCTCGTAAAAAAATTAGTAACTATCGTAGTCAAAATGAATAGTAAAGATTTGTTTACATTTGCACTAATTAATCCCATTTACACAAGTAGCATTATGCCCTTTCATTCTGCTACATCTAAATATTAATCGTTAATCTTTTTCCTTCGATTTCATTTGATATTATTCTTATTCTTAACCCTTTTTCAATGGCTCCAGTCAGGCATTTGAATATGACAGTGTCAGAGTCATAACATTATTGGAAAAAGGATAAAGCCAGGTCGAATTCGCCAGGGGACTGAATATAATTCACTCGACGATGTAAGGGTTCTTCGGCGCTTCAGAGAAACAGGGACAGATAGACGACAGATTCATCCGTCATCAGACACTACGAAACCGTTGCATTACGAGAAATGAGATAAAAAAAATTTGTCAAAACAAGCCCGAAATGTTTCCATTTCCTCCAGGACTGTAAGAAGAAGGTTCAACAAAAATAACCCTTAGGGCACCCTTTTCTTACCACAGCTCAAAAAATGGCCAGGTTTCAATTCGCATGGGAATTGGGCATAGGAAAATGAGGAAAGAGTTCTCTTTATATATGAAGTAAGAGTTGGCCTCAAATCATCAGATGGACGTAATTAAATATGAAGATGTTTGGGAGAAAGGTACGCCCCATGCTGTACGGTTCCTCAGGTGGCATTGATGTTCTGGGGTGGTCCCCGAATTGGTCGTTGTACGAGGAAGAGCGGTACTTACCAGACTTAATCAAAGAACATGAAGTGCTTTTGCCCCTCACATCGGTTATAGGTTTTTGCTAATGTAGGATACTTCCATGCCCATAGAGCACTATGACTACCTCATTGAGGTTGGAATTGAGTGCTTGGGGCCAGCACGATGTTCAGATTTGAACGCAATTGAACACATTTGAACCATCTTAAGTGACGACTGCGAATCCCACGTCCTAACACTCTAGAAGAATTGGAAACGGCTTTTCTTGATAAATGTGAAAGAAATCCTGGATTTTACCAAAAATATTTTCGTAGGATTGCAAAGGTGTTTAATGGGTAATTCGTGCCAGAGGTTGCATTATTTGGTTTTTACATTTTTATCTTTTTGATTTTTTTGTTCTTTCGTTTTTTACTTAATATTTCTTTTTTAGAATTAGGTGTTAAACATTTTCTTTTTATGCCTTATTTTTATAACCAAACCTATTTTTGGTATGCAAAATATGAATACCTTAAAATTTAAGGTTGGTCCTTTAGTATAATTAGAATCTATAGGTGCCATGGAAATCTGTTGTTCTAAAATTTAATTAACTAGTGAAATTTTTTGGTTTGTGTAGAATGAAACTGGATTTTTTAAACTGAATCGGTAGAACTTCTTTCAATCTTAACGGAATAATTCCAATTTGTGTGAAGCAATTATGTCGTGATTGCTCGATTCTCTGATTTGAAGAACTAAAGCTAGAACAGGACCCGCATTTTGCTTGATAACAAAACAATTCCGCCGGGAGTGAGAAACTAGGTCAGGCTTTATAAGTGGCCGGCTCTTTATTAACCGAGTGGGGACAATTCTGATGGCTGAAAGCCCTCTGCTGTTCATTTGGTCCGGTTAAAGTTCAAATCTTGATGCCACTTGTTTTAAATTTAATCAACAGGTTTTGCCCCTGTCGGAGCGGCTAATCGAATTTTCCCATCCGACGGATGTCCCTCCTTTAACCTTGTTATTTACGACGATTGAAAAATCAAACGATAACGAACGTGTTCTTGTTACGACTTTCAATATTCTTGTTACCAGACCCGACGCTTGTTAGAAAGGTGACGATGTGATAAGCCTCATTTATTTTTATTCAGATTTCCATTCTTTGCCCCCTTCTCCCTATTTAATCATATTAACGATATTTTTTTGTTACCTTGTTCCAATTTACTGAGCCCTCATGGCGAGTTTATTTAGTTATTTTGGTGAAGGACATGAAAAACATTGTGGTCATTAAAAAAGCGAGACTCTCCGTTTTCAATTTACTTTAAAAGCAAAATTAATAATTGTCATTTAAAATTGTATTGCCTCGGGCAATTGATACTTGACTATTTCATATAGAAATAATTGAAAAATATTTTAATATTCATAAGAGCTCTCTAATAACTCTAATTAACTTTCTGTTGGGGAATTGAAACAACGTTATAATAATTATTGTACATGTGAAATATACAATTGTACTTAAAACACATCTTTAATTAAAAACACTTGTACTGCTTAAAATTCCCAATCGAACATATCAAATGCGTAACAATTATAACAATAAAACTAATCCCATTTTACATAAGCCACCCTTTACCCATACTTGCCTTACTGCAGGAATGGAAGAGGCACTAGGATTGTCACCATTTCATACAAACATCCAGAGCATAGATCTTAGAAAAGTGCAGAAAGTATCTTGGTAAAAAATTAAATAGTAAAAATAAGTAAAATTAGTGATAAAAATGTCTAACAAAATGTTACTAAAATAAAACTTTGGCAGATCCTTCCAAAAACAAATAGCAACAAAAGATATTTGAAGATATAAAAATCCTCCTAAAAAAATAATAAAATAACTCATAGAGGGACCTTATTATGATACACAGATGGACATAAAATGGAACATGGAATAGACAGGAGTCAAAGCTCAAATTACGACCTAGCGATACCTCCAGGCTCCACTTCAATAGTCCAAGATGAAATCTATGCAATAAAACTGCTCTAGAAATATTTCAAAAGGAATAAAAGGTAAACAGACCTATTTCCATACCCAAGAAACTCTGATTGGCGTTTAGCTCCTCTAGGAATGCCTAAGGCTACGATGGATGCGAATTCTGATGAAATTTTGTTCTGAGGAGTATGTCCGAATTCCTCGTCAGAACAAGGTGGCTACATTGTGCGCATTTTTTAATAGTCAGTACATTTCTGCTTCCCAGCAAAATGGACGAACTTAATAGATTTTTTTAATGTTTTTTTTTTAAAAAGAAATTGTGAAATGGGGTCTGATGCCAACGTTTCGATCCTTATTGAGATCATCTTCAGGGCCTGGGATTTACAAACATTTTACATATAACAATTACATTTTGGATGTGGAAAAGTGAATTTATACAATGCAAAATATATTTTTTTATATATTCAATCAAAGTATTTCTACTCACTCAAAGTGTTTGTTTTCTGTGTAATTGCGCCATTCTTACGTGTCGTGTCGAGAGTGCCAGTGCGATTTTGCTATTTTGTGTTTATATACGTTGGATTTTGAAGGGGTGGGGAAGGAAGTCGGTGTAGAAAAGACATTTTTGTATAAGGCGTCGGCTTCTTTAAGGTGAAAAGAGCCGACGAAGGGAAAAAATGTGTTGGTGATGGTTCGGCCAAATTATTCTTTCAGGATTATATAGATGAATATATAAAAAAATTTGAATATATAAAAAAATATATTTTGCATTTTACAAATTCACTTTTCCACATCCAAAATGTAATTGTTATATGTAAACAATGTTTGTAAATCCCAGGCCCTGAAGATGATCTCAATAAAGATCGAAACGTTGGCACGATAACGAAAATGTTTTTCTGAAACCTACATCACACCAGACCGCATCTCACGATTTCTAAATAAATATCGATTAACGGTCAGTAATCACCACACGAACTTAATAGTTTTATTTTCTTGAAAGTCCGTTGATTAAGCTATTGTTGGTAGGTGGTGGGAAAACAGGGCATGTTACACTTATTTTCCACAAGAGACGAAAAGGGAGAGTTTCAAACTTAATGCTAGTCCCTTAAAAAAATGCATGTTAATCAATGTATGTTTAACGGTCATAATTGACCATATTAATTAAAATGAAATTTGAAAAATGGACAAAAGGGGGAAAATTCGAAAAGTTGTAGGTTAAGATGAGTTGGTGTCAGACGTGATGGAAGTCACAATAGCTCAAGTGGTTAGAGCAGTGGCGTATT